GAAATATAAATGGTTGTAAAAGTGGTCTTGTTCTTTGGCTGATTTTAGTACTACATTATTAAAATAATTGTGTAATCAAACAGAAATGGATGGACTGACTTATAAAGGTTACAAATTCAAGTTCAGAAGCAGCAAAAGGCAGCTAACTAGCACAACTTTATTTCATCCATTACACATAGGCCTTAAGATACTAAGTTTGATTACCTGACCAGATACTAGTTTGTGTCTGGGACACTCCTCCCTGGCTGCCTCAGTGCACAGGATGGACTGCTCTGAGGATACAATAGAGACATGCATTCTGTTGCACATCTGACAGAGATGTGAGGCAGTCAGCTGCGTGAGGTCCTTGTTGCGGTGTGAGAATTGGAAGGCATGACAGATGGATGAACTGGGGAATTACAGAGAGAAAAGGACGGTTTCATGGGAAAGGCAGGTGACTGTTGCTTTGGGGAGCTCGCTCTCTCCCTTCCCAGCGTAGTGTTGGGTGTGATTTGCAACAAAATGCACTACACAGGTTGCAACCTTTTGTACCACAGAGGAAGCAGCACAACATATTCATTTTCACTTGCATGCTTAAGTTGGGATTTTTGAAAGGTGGTTTTGAAAAGCAGTAAACCATAAAGTTTTTCCAGTCCCCTTGAAATTCAGTGGTGCTCTTACATATAATCTCCTGGTCTTTGAGAAGGGTGAACCCCTTTAGTATTTCTGGTAAGGTAGGAAGAAATGCTGAAGTAACTGACATTTTCATTCTGGAGAAGAAATCAATGACGAGCAAATTTTGTATTTGTTGAACATTAAAGAAATTCAGTGATCCTTACTCTGAGCACTGATGAATTAAAATCAGTACCTGAATTGCAGGCCGGAAGGTTGGGTTTTGGACTTGTAGCTGATAACAGGCATGTTAAATGGTGAAACTACCCGTGAACTTAATGTCTCCCAATGTGTTGCTAAAAACAAGGAGTTTAATTCTTAGGGATGCCACAAGGACTAAATACTGCTCTTGGGAGCTAGATTTTGTTTTCTTCACTGTTTGAGTATGTCAGATGCAGGCTTCGTGCGTGTTTTAAATGTTTTCTAGTGATTCGTGGATGGCATTTTCTCTGAAATTTGTAAAAAAATTAAATGATACATCCAAAGTATTGCTAAAGTTTAGCAGCTCATATTGTTTGAGGCAGGAACATATTCTAGTGTCTTTGTATAGCTTATCTTTAACCATATGTTCTTCATAAGAAAAAAACTCCTGCTGTTCTCTCCACATTTTCTTAGGTCATTTTTGTCTGGGCCAGACTATTGGGCTTTTAATATTATTCTGATTGCCCGTAGTATCTGAGGAGGCCAAGTAGGGAAAAAAACGCTTTGCTCTTTGACAAATGGGTATCTGTCCAAGGTACAAATGGCTTGGGGCATTCAGGACATTTTAACTGATATTGCATCTTAGCTTTGCTTGTAGCTGTAAAAAAATTAATCCTGAGGTATGTAGTATTTTAACCACGTTTGCTCGGCATTATTCTTTCCTTTATGAAATCAGATTATGTGCTCCCTTCGATCTCTCTATTAAACCCAGGAGAAGTTGCTTTCATTGTAGTTAATTCAAAAACACTCTGTGTCGTAAGAGCTAATAGTATTTGACTATCAGGATCAAAGTGTGAAAGGTGTTGGTCAGGGGAGTTGTTCTGGGTTTGTGTTGTGTTTTGTTTTTTTTTTTTTTTTTTTAACTTTTTTTTTTTTTTTTTTTTTTAAAACATCACTGTTCACCATGTTACATATAAAATACTTGTGTGGTATCTTCCCTGAAGTCAATGGCCTGGATTAGATGTAGATGTGGGATGACTTGATGTGAAAGTAGTAGGAAAGAGGTGCTGAAGGGGTGAAACATTTTAGGTAAAACATTTTATTAATGGGACAGTTAGGTGTCCTGTGATTCATTTCACTCAAAATGTGAAGCTGGAGAAGCTGAGACTGTTGATATTGTGAGGGAATACTGCTGAAGAAACTTTCAGAACTTGGAAGCTTGATGATTAAAGTGAACCAAAGCTGCTTAGGCTTTTAGCACAATGCTACCCTCTAGTGGAATAGTGTTGCATTAAAAAACCTCAACTGTCTTTGTCAGTCAGCAGCAAGGTTTTAGTTGGAACATGGTATCTGTTATGCAGTATATGTGGGTACTTGTATAGCAATAATAAAGTAGAAGAAAATTTGAGGAAGCCACCTCTATTACCTGTAATAATGACAATGTAATCTGTAATTAAAATGTGTTTCTTACTCCGACCGTTCCAAATTGTTGCTTTGCAAAATGTGATTCAGAAGTTTCACTGAACAGCAATTCATTCGGGGTTAATAGGATTTCATTCAAGACCTTTTTAAAAAGTAGCGTTTTGTGCAAGTCGAGATGTATGCTGAATATCTAAATCTGTGTCACGCGTTGTTCAGGCTCTTCTGGTTGATTGTTTGCTTTTGTTCTCTACTTCAAGGTGAACCTCTCCAGATCATGTTTTCTTCTCTAAACTTGTGATTAATATGGATGCGTGCAGTTAATCTGATGTTCTTGAACCAGTAACATACCTGCTGTATTTGCAAATGTAAGGTAAATGCAGGGAAATGGTGGGTAGGCATCTGGTGAAAGACATGCTGTGCTGACTGGGATATGTTGAGTGTTTGGGGTTTGTGCAGGGAAAAGAACGTTTGGAATTTCAGTTATGTTAATGATTAAAGTACAGAAAAATTAAAAACAAAATCAAAGCTTTGAGGAAAGAAGTTTTACATACTGTAGCAGAAAGAATACCATGGACACAGATTATTTGCCTGGGTATTTCAGTTTCCAGATCCCAGGTTGGATAGATGGGTGAGGTTTTGGCTTGAAGAACAGGAAGAACTGTAACAGAGCTGACTTCGGTGAGACTGTTGTAAAAAGGGAAGAATAAGTGATGTAACTTCCTGAAAAGAGGTCATGCTGGATTCAGGGGGTGGTCTAGGGATTTAAGCATGGGTTTAGCTCCCAAACTGAGGCTTTTAATTTAATTATCATTTCCCTTTTGTGGTTTTAATTCTCTGCTACACAAAGGGATGTAGAAGTAACATGGTACATCCCCTGCTGTCAACCTCTTTCTCAAAGGGGAGGATGTGGTAGCTGTGTCAAAATATTAACCCTGAGAGATGCAGAAAGCATACTGTCTCTTAATAACGTTGTTATCCTCTTGGTCTGACTTCACCAGTCATAGTGATGTGTTACGCTAATGTTAGCTTTCCTGTTAGAATCAGATAGTAGACTTTCTGGTAATTGATGATAAGAAGTGAAATTCATCTGTTTGAAGCTCTTGTTGTACATTTCCACTGGAAATGTTCTTAAGTTTCAAATACAGACATTATGTTGTGATATATTTGTGTGGCTGAGTTTCTCCAAAGTTAGTGTCAGAAAGTGTATGGGGGTTGCAGCTTGGAACGATAGGGAGAAGTATTGGTATGAAGAAAATGTGTAAATGAATACTTCTTAAACATGTCTGCTTTCAAGAAGGAACGATCTAGGTGTTTGAGAGAACATGTAACAGGAGGAGTTTGCCTTTTGCAAAGAGGCTCACATCTGTGTTACATCAACTGTTTTGAGCTTAAAGGAAAAAGTGGGGAAATATGACTAACTGGAGAAACATGGCTTAATACTTCGTCTGGAAAGCTGATAGTGTGTGACATAGACTCTGGGTTAAACTAGTCTGCTTATTTCGGTGTGATGTCTAACTTGCTGATTAATTGTTTTCTAGAAAGTTTAGGAGGCAACAAAAAGACTTGCTGTGCTGCCAATAACTGAAAAGTTTTTTGTGTATAGCACGCGTTGCTGGGGAGATATGGGTGCTGCGTAGGTAAAATTTTGTAGATCTCTGTATGGGGGAAAAAACCAAAACAAACCAACTGAAGCAATGAAGTTCATTCTACAGAGTTAACAAGCAGGTGTTCTCAGAAGGTAGGTCGCTCTCAGTCTCCCTGTCATCTCGTACAGATCCTTCAGAGCTTATGGATGAAATAGCCGAGAAAAGCATTTCAAGTGAAAAAGTTGTAAAAAACCAAACACAAATCACGTTGAAGATGAATGAATAGAGCCATCCTCGAAATGTAGTTCTTTGAGGCTATTAGCAAAGATTCTTGAAATATTTCCTTCTAATACACTTTTTCATGTAGAGTGATGCTTTCAAAGTAGGTACTGAGTGAGGAAGCTAAAGAAATAGGTTCAGTATTTCTGTAAGCATGATGCTTAGATGTTAGCAATGATTACATAATGCCTTAAGCTATCCCTATAGGTAAAGAAACTAAGGGAAAAAAATGATAATCTGTTCGTCTAAACGTGATGATGCAATTCTTTGAACAAGTAGCTGAGATTTAGAAGTTGTTACTTATTGTTGCATTCCTCTGTTACGTGTGATAAAGCTTCAGTTCAGATGCTACAGAGTGGAGTATCACAAAAAAAATGCAAAAAAAATTTCTGTTTAAAATGGAAGAAGGTCCTAATTTCTATTTTACCTATGATGTCAGGGATGGTTATGCTGTTCTTCAGAATTGAAGTATTAGGAAGTGTGGAAGCAAAGGCTGCAAAGCAAGTGGATTTTTGTCAGTGGTTAATGTGCTTATTGTTGTGTTTTCCTCTTGATCAGCCATTATACTGTTTAGCTTTTAAGAGTGTTTAGCCCAAGATTCCTAACTGAACAGTCAAAATACTATTCAGTACTATCAAGTAAAGGTGCCTGTAGGAAGGTGCATCCTAAGAGATTTTATAACTAACCTATTGTTATTTCAGGTGCTTGGGTTTGCCCTCATTTTGCTCGGAGAGTTCAAGATTCTAATTCTGGGAGAGCAGTGTCTTTTAAAGACATGAATACGTTTAGAAATGGAGTTATGTCAGCTGCATGTGTCAGGCTGGCTCCTGTTAGTTGTTGAGAAACAGCAGCAACAAATTTGCCTCTGATTTAAAAAAAATGCATTTATTGCTGTATTAAAGCCATTTTATTTGTTTACAGGTGTCAGCTGTGATGCATGTTTAAAAGGAAATTTTCGAGGTCGCCGATACAAGTGTTTAATTTGCTACGATTACGATCTGTGTGCAACTTGTTATGAAAGTGGTGCAACGACGACAAGGCATACAACTGACCATCCAATGCAGTGCATACTAACAAGAGTAGATTTTGGTAAGTGATAATTTCGAACTCTAATAATTTGGTGCTATGTTCTGTCTACAAACATTATACAGGTTTTCATGTTTCTGCTTACTAATTACTTCCCCGCTAGCACACTGAAAGAAAAGCAAGTTCTTATCTTCTAAAAACAGGCATGTTTTCTTTGATTTTAGCATACAAGAACTGTTTTATATGTTTCTTTTTGCATTTCTGGTGTATACATATTTTTAATCTAATTTTGGTCTGATGACAACAGATTATCAGACTAGTAAATACATTTAATAGCAATGACTACTCCTGACTTCCAGTGCAGAAGATGTTGCAGCCTTCTGCCTCCAGTATGCTATACTTCAGTGTCACAGTGTACTGATGGAAAAATCCTGGTGAAATTTTGTAGGAATGTTACTCACTGGTGGCTTATATGGGACTGTAGGTACAGCAGGGGTAGTGATAGGCTATACTGAGTAGAAAAGACTAGTGGCAAGGACTAGCACGTAGTCTTCTTGGAACTCCTTTGAAGATCTCTACTCATTTCAGAATTATTTCTGACTGTAAAACCAGGTCAATATTAAGAAATAATTGTTCTTGTCTCCTGTCCTGCTTGTTGTTTCTATTGCGTCGTATTTGTAATAGCTTGTAACACATGAGAATTCTGTGACAAACCACTGCTCTAAGATTTGCTGATGCTGGACATGTGTTTTGTTTTTATGTTAATCCAATGCAGTTAGCATTTTAGTAAAAGTTTTTTAGAGATTCCAGCTCTGTTCTTTACATTTCAAATTCCTTAAGTATGGTTATTTCTTAAAAGCTGAAGTCTTAGTAACTGTAAATTACTTCTTTAGCCTTTTGATTAAAACAGAGGTAATATCTACTTCTTTATGACTTTAAAGATTGGAGGATACCTGTGTGGAGAAACATGCAATTGATTTCTCAAAGCAATCTGTGAATGAAGATGTCTCTCATTTTCTTTTAATTCTCGGGTCTCTGTTTGCCCTAAAACGCCTGGTCATGACTTCCAGGCCCTGGGAATCCAGGGTTCAGAAGGAAATAATTTAGTGCATTTATCAAAAATGCACACCACCATTTTAGCTTGCATATGTTTCTTCTTGGGCTTGTTTTTTTTGGTCTCGCTGGTGAGGTAAAATTCTCTGTGTACAGTATTTTAATTCAGGGTTCTGGTCACTGTTTGAGATGCACAGTTCAAACTTCTTAGCCCCTTAGCAACAGTTATTATTGGAAGTTACACATGGCCTAAAAGCACAGCATTGCTGTAAACATAAAATGCTTGTCATAGAGGTAAGATGATTGAAAAGTGCTTGCTGTGTTTCTAGGCATGTGTCTAGGAAATACATTTTGTTTCTTGCAACTTCTGGAAATCTTTGATAAACTTATCTTTTGTTTTAATGCATTTTATTTGTGTATGTTGTCGGGGCAGAGAGGTTTTTGCTATTTAAGTCTGCATGAAGAATACAGATGGTGAGGTGGAAGAAAGTTGACAGTGAAGTATTGAGATGGGTAGTAGGATTCCAGGGGCTACTTAAGCATTGCTGCGTGTTTATGCTACTGTGGCTTCCTTAAATAATAAGAAAACAAATGTCTAGAAATTTCATATAGCTTGATATCCGAGCATTGGTCCAACAGAGCCAGTGTTAGAAAAACAATACTGCAGCTCAGCTCTGCAGCAAGACTCCTGGTTTGATTAACACTATAGAACAAGAACAGGAAGGAGTACATCACCACCAGACTGTGAACCACTGCAAAGATTGATGGCACCCAAGTACTAGTGACGTTGTAAGCTTATACACTGGAGAATGAGTTAGAGAATATTATAAATAACATATTCCTTAGGGCTCAGGAGGGTCTGTGACGTCCTTCTTAAAATGGTTTTATTTTAGTTCCCTATAGAATGTAAGACACAAAGGAGTGTTTATAATGTAGTACAGATGCTTAGAGAAACTGTGGTAACTTTGAGAGCCTTGTGTAGCCAAGCAGATCATGTGACTTTAGGAACATGCTAAAATTTAGGAGCTAAGGAATGTTAAATTTAATTAGAAAATCAATAATGGATGGTAGGACTAGTCTAGAATGACATGTTTCAGAGTTGTGAGGGTAGCTGTTCTAGTGAATACTAAAAATATCCAAGGAAGCAGATATTAGTGGGTTAAAAGAAAATAATCAAAAGGGGAAGACTGGTAGTGTAAAACTAATGCTGTTGAGGTAATGAAGTCTTCAGTTGCTTCCTAGTGACATGGGAAGTTAAGTGAAAGGAGAATAATTTCTATTCCTAAGTAAGGAAAACTTCAATAGAAACACAGGATGGAAGGGTGTGAGTATAGGTGCATGCGTGAAATGTAGTTTACATGGCCATTGACAAACTTCAATACTGTTGTCTGTGGTCAGGTTTGATTCAAAGGTATGAAAACTGTTTTTAATAGGAATAAACTTGCAGTTGTTGCTGATGGTGGGGAGGCAGGTGGACAGCTGGTAAAAGATGAGTATTTTACCAAGGAGAAGGAAGCAGAGTTGGGGGATCCTTCCGTTGCAAAACTGATGCAAGCACTGCAGAGAAAGTCGGTGTTTCAGCACTGAAAAAGTTAACATATTATTTACCTCCATGAAAATTCTGATCAATTTTTAGGCTTCCTAGGTACTGTAATAACGTTGCAGAGTATACTGCAAGAAAATGAGCTTCTGTAGGTGCTCTGAAGGAGCTTTTGTTGTCATCTTGAAATTTTTCGATTTATTCTCTCCCCCCCTGAGACTTGGACTAGTATAGGAGCCTGTGCGAGAACACTGGAAACAAGTAAAAAGCCCTAGTGATATCTGGCTGCACATGTGTTCACTCTTCTACCATCCAGTTGGCATATTTGTGTCTTAGGATTCAGTGTACAACCTAGTATTAACTTTGAAGCAGGATGGGATCCAGAACAATGGCAGTGCTGTTGTTCTTTGGTTGCTGCAAGAGGCAGTATAAAAAATCCTTTAACACACACCCACACACACCCCCCAAGAGTGATATACTGGTGTAACAGGGACAGAGCTTAAAATAAAATATGAAGTCTCATGTGTGATGATGAGTGGCCTTTAATTAGTTTATTTCTGAGGGGTCAAAGAATAGAGATGCAATAGACCTGTGTAAAGAACAGGAATGTGCTTACTAGGCAGTCGTACTTCTGTGCTTACAATTTGTCAGGACAATGGAGAAGTTCAGAGCAAATTTCCCAGTTTTCTTTCTCCTGAAAAAGAATCCTAAGCTGTTAGGATGCTTTATGATTTTAAGCACGTGGCTTGGACATTACCGCCATCATTTTAAGGTGGTTATAGTGGCAGAGAAAGTAATGCAAACTGTTTGTAGAATTCTCTGCCAGACTCATATTTTGTTACTTTGATAAAAGTATAGAACAAGTGTACCTTCACTTGCCAGCTCGTGTGCTTATGTGACAGAAGATCCTGCCACCTTTTGTGCCTAATTCTTAGGCAAAGGGAACTGCTTAAATAATGGTTACCTTGGTAATGGATAGTGTGAGGTCTGACTGGATTCACCAGAATTCAGCTTGAGGCTTTTGTGATTTCCTTCAACCACTAGAACAAGATCTGTCTGGTAACTGTGTGTCTTGTTAAGTCAAAGCATCATAGAATAGCCTAGTGTGTTTGGAAGGGGACTCTGGAGATCATCTGATCCAACCTTGTGTTGGAAGCAGGGACATAAGTTGGGCTATCCCATCAAGCCAAGTCTTGAATATTTTCCTCAAGGGGTGTTTCACCGCTTCTGGGCCACCTATTCCAGTATTTAGTTCCTACAGTGAATGTTGGGGGTTTTTATTTGTTTCCCTTTATTCAAGCAGAATTTCTGCTGAAGCAGCTTGTACTTGCAGCTCATCACCATGCTTCCTTTTGAAGAGCATACCTCTTTCCTCTACAGCTACTTTTTCAGTATAATAAGTTGGAGATAAGATCCACCTTGAGCCTTCTCTAGGATGGATGAACCCCATTCCTTCAACCATTCTTATGTCAAGTTCTCCAACCCTTGGACTATCTTGGTGGATGCAAACATGTGTGCACGCACACAACACACATAAAAACCCTAGATCTTCTTGATTTTATTTGAGTACTTGTCTTGAATTGGAGAGATCAAAACTGAAGCCTGTGTTGCGGTTGTCTAACAAGTGCCGAGTAATCACATGCCTTGATCTGATGGCTGTTCTGTTACTGATTTAGCCCAAGTCATCCTTTGCCTTCAGTGGTACAGGGGCACATTGCTGGCTCATGTCTGGCTCACTCTGATCCCCTGGTCCTTTTCAGCAGAGCTGCTCCTCAGCTTGTTGACCCTACCTTTGAGAAGCTGCTGTTTTGTCACTGCTGAGTACTGGGAGGTGGGCTGCAAATCCTTTCATATCTTCGTTAGCATCTGTGCTTGTTCCTCTCTTCAGCATATGGCCCTTATTGTTGTGAAGCAACAAGACCAGGGCTGCTCCACAAGGAATAACAAACCAGGAGCTGAGGGTGACCACAGCACAGGCAGGAGTGGTGTCCTCACTGACAGGGTCTGTAGGGCAGGGTTGGTTAGCAGGAACCGGTCCTATTGACAGTCCCTGACAATGCAAGTGTAGTGAGTCACTCTGCGGTCCATACAGGAGACACATCTATGGTAGAAAGAGGGCTAGATGCAGCTGCAGCATAGCCCATGGCCAGATGGTCAGACCTTAGATTTAGCCCATGGACAGAAGGTGTGTGTGTGGAGGTCTGCTTTGAGGCAGCTAAGGCCTGTTGGTCAGCTCATGGCCCTGATGCCTGCTGGGGTAACAAAAAGCCCAGCTGCTGCTGGACTGAATACCTGCTGTGTAATTGTTGTCAGCCCCAGCAGTACGTCTCATACTGAAGCTGTGAGCCCAGCACTGTCTGGCTGTAAGGTTGAATACTGAGATTGGCAGCTGACGAAACTACATGAAGAAAAATGGAGGATGTGTTGTTTCTTCCTGCTAGACACAGCTCTACTGGAAACTTGCTGAAGG